TTTTCAAAACTTCTGATCATATTACTTACTACAGGTTGTACCTCCCTTAACCAGGACTCTGTGGTCTGGCAACATCCGCTGTGCAGCCGGAACACAGAGGTTCCTGGACCACACAGTCCAGGTATAAGGAGGTCGGGCCGCAGAATGGGAACAGGGGAGGAGGGGCATGACTCAGCCAGCAGCCCCGTGTTGAAGGAGGCGGGGGGGCACAGCAGATCATATTACTTACTACAGGTTGTACCTCCCTTAACCAGGACTCTGTGGTCTGGCAACATCCGCTGTGCAGCCGGAACACAGAGGTTCCTGGACCACACAGTCCAGGTATAAGGAGGTCGGGCCGCAGAATGGGAACAGGGGAGGAGGGGCATGACTCAGCCAGCAGCCCCGTGTTGAAGGAGGCGGGGGGGCACAGCAAGGAGTTTTGGATCTTGCTTCTGGGTAATAGCGAGGGGCTGGCAGAGGTTGCAGACTCAGTCCCTGCAGCTCAGACCTCCAACAGGCCCAGAAGCCATGAAGACCCAGCAACCCCAGAAGCCAGACAGCCCCAGAAGCCACAAAGCCCCAGCCTGGGGAGCCATGGCCAGGCAGGCAGCAACAGGCCTCAGCTGGAGTCCAAGCTGACATGCCATGTAGCACAGGCCATGTTGGGTTTCCAGTGGCAGAGACTGGTTATAAGAACGGCCATACTGGGTCAGATCAAAGGTCCATCTCGCCCAGTCTCCTGTCTTCCGACAATAGCCAATGCCAGTTCTAGTTCTTTTTTGAATCTTTTTTAAAGTCCTGGTCTTCGCACCATACTCTGGCAAAGAGTTCCATGGGTTGACTATGTGCTATGTGAAGAAAATCTTCCTTTTGTTTCTTTTCGGGTATGTCTAGATTACATGCCTCTGCCGACCAAGGCATGAAAATTAGACATACCGACATAGTCAATGATGCGGGAATTTAAATATCCCCTGCTTCATTAGAATAAAAATGGCCACCGCATTGTGCCAGCTCAGCTGTTTGTAGGCACGAAGTGGCAGTCGAGACGGGGATCAGTTGGCAAGGAAAGCCTTTGCCGACCGATCCCTTATGCATCGTGTAATGAGGTTTACAGGATCTGTCAGCAAAGGCTTTCCTTGCCGACCGATCCCCATGTTGACTGCTGCTTTGTGCCGACAAACAGTTGAGCCGGCACAACGTGGCAGCCATTTTTATTCTAATAAAGAAGGGGATATTTAAATCCCCGCTTCGTTGACTATGTCAGTATGTCTAATTTACATGCCTCGGTTGGCAAAGGTATGTAGTCTAGACATAACCTTAATGTGCTACCAATTAATTTCACTTTCTCCGTAAATGTCACGATTTTACAGACCTCTATTATATCCCCCTTAGTCTCCTCTATTCTAAAATGAAAACTCCAGTATTTTTAATCTCTCCTCATAGGGCACCCATTCCAAACCCCTAAGCATTTTTGTTGCACTTTTCTGAACCTTTTCCAATGTCAAGATATCTTTTTTGAGATGAGGCGACCGCATCTGTACACAGTATTCAAGCTGTGAACGTACTATGGTTTTACAGAGGCAGTAAGATATTCTCTGTCTTATTTTCTATCCCTTTTTTAATGACTCCTAACATTCTGTTTGCTTTTCTGACTGCTGCTGCAAACTGAGTTTTCAGAGACCTATCCACAATGACTCCATGATCTCTCTCTTGAGTAGTTGTAGCTAAATTAATCCCCATCATATTGTATATCAAATTGGGATTATTTTTCACAATATGCATTACTTTACATTTATCAACATTAAAATGCATATGCCATTTTGTTGCTCAATCACTTAGGGTATGTCTACACTGCCATGTTGCAGGGGACTTGACTTGATAACCTCTCAAGGTCCCTTCCAGTCCTAGTATTCTATGATTCTATGATACACTTGCAGTTCAAACTAGGGATGCAAATGTAGGCATTCGAAATAGTCAATGAAGCGGGGATTTAAATATCCCGCGCTTCATTAGCATGATCTCTGCGGCACGTTATTCCGATCAACAACCATTTCTAAAGTTAAAGTGCGTGCTAGGATGCCTTAGTTTGAACCACACCCCTTGGTTCGAACTAACGTTACTCCTCAAAAAAGTATCTTATGAAAAAGCCTCTTTCAAAAAAGGCGTGTAGTCTAGACATTAAAAGTTGTACACAGACCAGAACATACAGGTTGTTTTGCTGAAACAGCACGGGAAGGCCATGAAAAGGTTTAATGTCTCCCTCACTGTCCAGTCAGTGACTCAGTAATGAAGGCCCAACATCATGTCACCGTTCAAATTTGCATGAAGCTTGGTCTGTGAGTCCAGGCACAAGGAGAAAACGTTAGGTCCCTTTGTGGCGAATAAGTTGGAGCAGCCTGTCCCGAATCTGTTTGGTCCTCACCCCATAGATGATGGGGTTCAGCGTGGGAGGTACCAGGAGGTACACGTTGGCAATGAGAATACGGAAATGCTGGGCCACGTTCTGGCCAAACCGTTGTGTCAGGAAGGAGAAGAGAATTGGGATGTAAAAGGCTAAGATGGCAAAGAGGTGGGAGCCACAGGTCCCAAAAGTCTTAAGTTGGGCGTCCTTTGTAGGGAGTCTAAAAATGGCCCTGAGGATCTGGACATAGGACACAGATATAAAAAACACATCCAGACCGGTCACAAAGAAAGCCACAAAGAGGCCGTAGTAACTACTGATGCGGATGTCACCACAGGCCAGCTTCACCACGGCGATGTACTCGCAATGTGTGTGGGGGATGATATTTGTTGTGCAATACGGCCACCTTTTTGCTAGGAAGATAGAGGGTAATGCGAGCATTCCACTGCGCAGCACCACGGCCAGGCCAGTCTTGGCCACCACGGGGTTCGTGAGGATGGTGGAATGTCTCAGGGGATGGCAGATGGCCACGTAGCGATCCAACGCCATGGCCACGAAGATCCCAGACTCAATTGCTAAGAAGCAGTGAATGAAGAACATCTGGGTGAGGCAGGCACTGAAACTGATTTCCACAGAATTGAACCAGAAGATGCTCAGTGTTTTGGGCAGGGTAGACGTGGACAGGACCAGGTCGGTGGTGGCCAGCATGCAGAGGAAATAGTACATGGGCTCATGGAGGCTCAACTCCTTCTTGACAATGAACAGGATGGTGAAATTCCCCAGCATGGATATGGCGTAGGTGCTGCAGAAGGGAATGGAGATCCAGGCAAAGGCTGTCTCCAGGCCAGGAATACCCAGCAGGATGAAAGTGGAGGGGTCAGTGAAGTCAGTTGTGTTGGAACCAGACATGGAGTAGAGGAGGTGGCATACAATTTCGAGGTAGAATTGTGTCCCCTGCAGGCACGCTCTGTTCTCCTGACTTCCTACAATTGCCCAGTTTCTAGGGTGATGGTCACAGTGCAGATGCCTGGATGGAGAGACAATGTTAAGATGAGGAGGTTGGATAAGAAGACAAACTGAAAAGTCTGGGACTGGTTGTGATGAACAGACAGAAAAGGGGTCATTAGACAGAGCAGAACAAAGTGAAAGATTGGAATTGATTGCGTTGCAATTGACTCTGAACACTCCCCAACCAGTAATATCTATAGACAATAAATGCTTCAGAGAAGCTAATTCTTCACAACCGAGTCACATTCACAGCAAGGCAGATTAGAACTATTTAGGCAGAGATGCTTAATGACGTCTATGTTTCGATTTTCACCAAGAAGGTTAGTGGTGATTGGATGCCAAGTAGCCAAGTATAGTGAATACTGGAGTAGATTCAGAGATTAAAATAGGAAAAAAGCAAGTTAACAATTACATAGACAAATTAGATATCTTCAAGACTCTATGGCCTGACACAATGCATCCTAGAATAGTCAAGGAGCAGATAGAGGACGCATCTCAAAGAGTCATTAGTTGCCATCTCTGAAAAGTAATGGAAGACGGGAGAGATTTCAGAATCCTGGAAAAGGGTAAATATAGTGCCCAGCTATAAGAAATAAGATAACTCAGGAAACAACAGACCAGTCAGCTTAACTTCTGTACTGGGAAAGATAATGGGGCTAATAATTAAGGAATCCATCTGCAAACATCTGAAATGTAATAAGGCAATAAGTAACAGTAGCATGGATTTGTAAAGAACTAATTATGTCAAACCAATCTGATAGCTTTCTTTGATAGGATAACAAGCCTTCTGGAAAAGAGGTAAGTGGTAGACATGGTATACATATATTTTAGTAAAACATTTGTTACAATCTCACATGACTATCATATCAATAAACCAGAGAAAATACAAGCTGATGGGGCTACTATAAGGTGGGTGCATAACTGGTTGGATAACCATTCCCAGAGAATAGTTATCAATAGTTCACAATCATGCTGGAAGGACATAACCAGTGGGGGTTCCTCAGGGATAAGTTTTGGGATCATTTCTGTTAAATATCTTCATCAATTATGTAGATAATGGCATAGAGAGTACACTTATAAAGTTTGCGGATGCTACCAAGCTTGAAGGGGTTACAAATGCTTTGGTGGATAGGATTATAGTTCAAAATGATCTGGACAAACTGGAGAAATGGTCTAAGGTAAATAGAATGAAATTCAATAAGAACAAATGCAAAGTACTCCACTTAGGAAGAAACAATCAGTTGCACACATTACAAAATGGGAAGTGACTGTCTAGGAAGGAGCACTGAAGAAAAGGATGAAGGGGTCGTAGTGGACCACGTGCTAAATGTGAGTCACCAGTGTTGCAAAGAAAGTAAACATCATTCTGCAATGCATTAAGAGGAGTCTTGTAAGCAAGACACAAGAAGTAATTCTTCCCCTCTACTCTGCACTGATTAAGCCTCAACTGGAGTATTGTGTCCAGTTCTGGGCACCACATTTTAGGAAAGATGTGAAAAAGATGGAGATGATCTAGAGAAGAGCAACAAAAATGATTAAAGGTCTAGAAAACATGACCTATGAAGGAAGAGTGAAAGAACTGGGCTTTTTGAGTCTAGAAAAGGGAAGGCTGAGAGGAGACATAACAGCCTTCAAGTGTCTGGAAAAATTGTTACAAGAAAAATTATTCTCCTGAATGTCTGATGATAGGTTAAAAAGCAATAGGCTTAAATTGCAGCAAGAGAGGTATAGTGTATACATTAGGAAAAACAAATTCTTATTGTCAGGGTGGCTAGGCACTAGAATAAATTGCTTAGGAAGGTTGTGAAATCTCCATCATTGGAGATTTTTAAGAGTAGGTCAGACAAACTTGTCAGGAATGGTGTAGGTCAGGGTGGAGGAACCTAAGGCCCTGGAGCTGGATGTGGCCCCCAGCTTGACCCTTGAGGCTCAGAGCTCTCACCCCAGTATTGGGGAGCCTATGTTAGAGCTCCAGCCCCACCTCTATTCCCCCACAGAGCTGGAGCACACAAAATCTACTAGTCTGGGCTGCCCTAGGGTCTGGTGTGGGAGGGGAGTATGGGGAATGTCTTTATCCTTCTCATTTGGGGGCTACATCAGTGAGGCTTGTTTTTGTTTTTTGTTTTTTTGCTTCTCACTTGTGTGCGACCCTGACTAATTTTACTGTGGGTCAGGAAAAAAAAGTTCCCTGCCCCCAAAAAAGTTCTCCACCCCTACTGTAGTTGGTGCTTGATCCTGCAGTGAGTGCAGGGGACTGGATTTATCGACCTTTCAAGGTTCTTTCCAGTTCTATTATTCTATGATTTTATGATTGTATGAAAATGCAATTACACCAAAAGCAAAGAAGATATGATGTATACAAATGAGAATAGTATAAGAATGAGAATAGGAGTGAATACATGGTCTGCTGAGGTAGATGTGACTTCTTAGTAGAGAATACTTTAATAACAGTATATTTCTAATTTGTGTTGTGCAAATTACTGTCAGTGAATCTTTTTGAACCATGGATAGTAATTCTGTTTCTTGAATTATGACACCCAAATAATCAATCTTTCACTACTGAAACATGCAGAAAGGGGGGGAGAGGGAGTTTGAAGGAGCTGTTTTTGTTTTAATTTACTGCTAGTTGACATTGTGCTTGCAGATACTTTCTTTTTGGATCTCAAGGTATAAAGAAAATAACATTAATTTTGTTATAATAAACAGCAGCAGTATTAACCTGTCTCAGACTTTTTAAAAACAGCCATCTATGCAGAAAATCTTCACTTTATGATTCAGACCAATTCTGCTACATAGTATCTCCAGTGTATTATTAATTATACTAAGCCTAGTATATGAGGCATCTGTACAGCATAATGACTTAGACCATTAAAATGTATCAAAGAGACTTTTTACCTAATAAAATATCCCCTATAAATTTAGCAGAATCTTAGTGCTGTTGTAATAAAGAATGGTTAACAAACCTTTAGCTTACTTCATGTATAAAACATAGTAGGTGGATATTTTGAAAACATGCTGCACAATGTTGCTTTATGTGTTTCATTGTCAGATCCCTAGTTCTTCTTTATTCTCTCATTAACGAAAGATCCATGTAGCCTTTACTTGAAGGCTATCTTGGAAAAATAATTATATTTACAACATTGCAATTAAGACAGTGTTTGAATAGTTTCGGGGCTATGGGCTGACGAGGGGCATTGGTGTTGCTAACAAAGCTATTCACAACATGGGAAATTGCTGAATGGTAAATAAGACCTCATGAAAGCCAGTTAAGTGGTGATTCTGCCTCCCTATTCTCATTCAAAATCTAGTTATTTCAGTGGAATTGAAGAAATCTATTATGGCCAACAAGGTGAAGTGCTCAGGCCCTCTCAAAAGTCTAGAGAGGTCTGGGCCATTTCCAGTTTTTGAGGTCATCAATAATAAAAATAAAAATTGATGACACTGATCCAGCACTAGTACTGGTTTGTTTATATAATCAGCTGACCCATGAGGACATGGTCATCAAGGTCTATTCTTGTGCCACCAAAACGGATCTATTTTTATTGACGCTTTTAACTTTTTAATATAAAAATCTATATCAGTTAAGAAAAAAAATGTTGTTTACTAAATCACATCTCATATTTGCTTAAATTTGCAGTTCTCAGCTGAGAGTACGTGTCACATTTTGATCAGATAAAAACAAGTTACGAAGCTTATTAAATGCCAAAATATTAGCCAGTGTCTAAATTTGAGGCCCCCTTTGAGCTTGAGGCCCAGACCAAATGACCCTCCTGTTCTCCCAGCCCCCATTTTATTGGCCTTGAAGTGCTACCTTGAATGTGTGTTTTACAGATACTAGTTAGGTGTTTCATATCATAGCCTTCATGCAGTCTATACACGAGTTTGTTTTCTAACTAACAAAATATCAGAGCAATTGCTTTTGAAATGCTGGGACTCTTCTTGGTGAAACTTAAAATAGAAGAAACTATTTAAATACAAGCCCTATAAACAAATTATATTTTAAAATGTGGATACATATGTAAAGGTGTAAAATATAGGGAGGGAGATACAGTAAAACTCCAATAGTCCGGCATCCAATAGTCTGGCACTCCTGTTAGTCCGGCATCAAAATGGCAAGAGCCTAGTGAGTGAGCTTTGGAAAAAATGAGTCACAAGGTAACAGCAGCAGCAGCTGAACTGAGCAAAAAGGGTAAAAAAGTCTTAAAAAAACTAAAACATTCCAGTATACTGTATACAGTATGTACAATGAAAAGGGTTAAGAACACTTAATATACATTATATAATTTATACAGTGTATATATATATATAACCAGTTTATAGTACCTCCTGATAGTCCGGCATATTTGATAATCCGTCACCACCTAGGTCCCATAGGTTCCGGATCATCGGAAGTCTACTGTATATAGATGTGTTTATTATGTAGATGCACCTGGTAGGAACACTCTTAGCCATGGTTGTTTCTAAAATGGGTAAACATTCCCACCACCCCTAAAAATAGATACCCTGTGTCACTTCCTACTCAAGTCTCTGGAGTTGTTCATCTCTGGAGCTCTCCGGCCTCTCCATTCTCCATGACATTCTGAGCCAGGCTCTGTCTTGCTGGCTGGCTGGCCTCACATCTTGGAGTGCAGGCAGTCCTCACCAAAGAGTGCAACTCAGCTACTCTGCTGCCTTTTGTACGCTAGCTCCAGTTGGAGCAAGTCCAGCATAGATTAGGGGGCATGGCTTCCTTGACTAAGAGGCAGGGTTCCTTGACGCTGGCTGGCCTCACATCTTGGAGTGCAGGCAGTCCTCACCAAAGAGTGCAACTCAGCTACTCTGCTGCCTTTTGTACGCTAGCTCCAGTTGGAGCAAGTCCAGCATAGATTAGGGGGCATGGCTTCCTTGACTAAGAGGCAGGG